ATTAGGTAAAAGTAAAGTTATAATACTTGGATAATTTACTGATAAAAAATAAATATTTAAAAACATGGTCTAAAAGTAATTACAAAATAAAATAAAATATCAAATTTTAACTCCTAAAATCATTGAAAGATATAATTTAAACACATGAATTTGTCACACTAATTGTCCTGCGTGTATCAATGTAAAATATAGTATTTTAAGCTAAAAAAAAGAAGAACATGAAGACATGCTAGTACGTCTCATCACAAAATATTGGCATGTTTATTTTACTCTATTATTAGAAATAATAAAAGCCGATAAAGAGAAAAGAAAAATTGTACTAGATGGAATTAAATCAGATTCTTCTTCGATTAACTACTTTAGCATATTTGAGGGTTAAATTTATTTTAATTTATTAAAATTATAACCAAATTGATAGAACATATAAGTAATAATGATCAAATGTGTAATTATACCAAACATTTTAACTGTCACATAATTTTTTTTGTTAAATATTAACGACAAGTAGTTTAACTGAATGCATTTAAATAGTTGAGTGACCTAATTGACAAAATTTCAAAAATGATAGCCAAAATAAAAAGAGGAAATAGTTAAGTGATCACTGATATAATTTACCTTTTATTTTAAATAATTTACCTTTAAATTTTCAAATATTTTATAATTATATGTTGAATCTTTTAGAATTTTACAACAACAAAACCCTATTCCCATATGCAATGGGGTAAGAGGGAGGTAGGGTAGTAGGTTACCCCAACGCCAGGTTGAGAACAACTTCCGTGGGAGACCTCCGGCAGTTAGAATTTTAAATTTTTATAAATTAAATTAATGACACATATCATTAGTGATGTTTATCGGTATTCATCGAATCACTTAACTAGGGATGGGCATAGGTCAGGTTGGGTCGAGTTTTGGGTCCACCCGACCCGACCCGACCCGAGAAGAAGGTTGCCTCCACCCGTGACCCGACCCGACCCGATGGACATTTTAAAAACCCGACTCGACCCGATGTAATTTTTTATTTATTAAAACCCACGCTTGGGTATCTTTTTTTATAATCACATGCACAACCTTCACTTCCCTCGGAGCATTAAAGTTGCAGGAGCACCATTTTTTAATCAAATCCATCTCTGCCCGTGCCTTGTCCATGGCTTTTAATTAGGGTTGTAAAAACAGGTAATCGGTCAGGTTTCAGTCGGATCTTGGCAGGTCGGGTAAAATCGGATACAGGTCAATTCAGGTTGATTTGACACCAGATCCAGATCGGGTTAAGGTCAGGTCAAATCAGTTCGGGTTATTTTCAGGTTGATTTGACACCAGATCCAGATCGGGTTCAGGTCGGGTCATTTTCAGTTCGGATCGATTTCAGTTCAGGTCAAAACAATTCAGGTCCGAAGCAGATAAATACCAGGTTAATTCAGGTTCGGGTTGACTTCAGTCAGATCTCGTTTAGATCGGGTCACATCATTGACAGATAAAATTCAGGTCGGATGTTTATCGGATACGGATTGAGTTCAGGTCGGGTCGTTTTTATTTTTTTGGATTAATTAATTTTTCATCTTTCGTGATTGTTGAATTGGAAGTTGTAATTGTATATGATTTCGAGAAAAATAAGAGAAAAATAAATAATCATGGATCAATTTTGTAAAAAAAATAAAATTAATGACAAAATTAAAGAAATGTAAAATTACAAATAAAATCTTAAAATATAAATTAAACAACACACATAGGTAAGGGACTAAATCGAAATAAATTTAAAATGTGAGGTTTAAATTAATATAAAAATGACTAAATTAATTATGTTTTATATAATTTACATTTAAATAATTTTATTAATTTTATTAAATAATTTTATATAATATATATGTATATATTAATGTAATAATGTGATTCTTTTGTGATTTGAAAACGTGGGAATGATTTTTGGTGCGAAAACAATCGCGCCATTATTTGGCAATTTGGGCAAAATTTTAAAAATTGTAGCCCTGTCACCAACTTTGAATTTTATTATTTTGAATTTTAAAAACAAACGCATGAATTTTATTTGACAATTTGGGAAATAATCACGCCTGAATTCTATTATTTTGAATTTTATTGATTATAATTTTAATATCTGGACTATAAATTCGAAAAACTATATAAGCAATTTACTTTATATAGTTTATAGAAATACTATGCATAAATTATATAAAGTAATAAAATATATAGTTTATAGAAACCCTAAACCCTAAACCATACACCCTGACTTTAAACCATAAACACTAAACTATAAACCCTAATATAAATGGACAAACACTAATATGACATGTACTACTATTTATGAACCATATAATATGGAATGTGACATACTAATTATTTAACACCTAATTAATCATGTTTTATATAATTTACATTTAAATAATTTTATTAAATAATTTTATATAATATGTATGTATAAACCATGTATATATATATGTATATAAAGTAAATTACTTATATAGTTTATAGAAACACTATACATAAACTATATAAAGTAATAAAATATATAGTTTATAGAAATCCTAAATCCTAAACCATAAACCATAAACTTTAAATCACAAACACAAACACTAAATCATAAACCCTAATGTAAATGGACTATCACTAATGCATATATATTTGTAATAAAAGAGTGGGCTTGCATTGGGCCTATCTAAATTAATGTTAATAGACTAGCACTATTGCAAATGAACTTATTTTTGGGTTTTATTATTACTTATTCATAACAACAAAATAAATGGGCTATTAATGTGAATTAACCTAACATGCAACTAAAATACTAATTATGCAAATGAAATTAATATGACATGTACTACTATTTATGAACCATATAATATGGAATGTGACATACTAATTTAACACCTAATTAATCATGTTTTATATAATTTACATTTAAATAATTTTATTAATTTTATTAAATAATTTTATATAATATGTATGTATAAACCATGTATAGTATATATAAACTATATATATATATATATATAAACTATATAAAGTAAATTACTTATATAGTTTATAGAAACACTATACATAAACTATATAAAGTAGTAAAATATATAGTTTATAAAAATCTTAAATCATAAACCATAAACCCTAAACTTTAAACTACAAACATTAAACACTAAATCATAAACCCTAATGTAAATGGACTAGCACTAATGCATATATATTTGTAATAAAAGAGTGGGCTTGCACTGGGCCTATGTAAACTAATATTAATGGACTAGCACTATTGCAAATGGACTTATTTTTGGGTTTTATTATTACTTATTCATAACAACAAAATAAATGAGCCATTAATGTGAATTAACCTAACATGCAACTAAAATACAAATTATGCAATTTAAATTAATATGACATGTACTACTATTTATGAACCATATAATATGCAATGTGACATACTAATTATTTAACACCTAATTAATCATGTTTTATATAATTTACATTTAAATAATTTTATTAATTTTATTAAATAATTTTATATAATATGTATGTATAAACCATGTATAGTATATATAAACTATATATATATAAACTATATAAAGTAAATTACTTTTATAGTTTATAGAAACACTATGCATAAACTATATAAAGTAATAAAATATATAGTTTATAGAAACCCTAAACCCTAAATCCTAAACCTTAATTCTAAACTTTAAACCATAAATATTAAACCATAAACCCTAATTTAAATGGACTAGCACTAATGCATATATATTTGTAATAAAAGAGTGGGCTTGCATTGGGCCTATGTAAACTAATGTTAATGGACTAGCACTATTGCAAATGGACTTATTTTTGGGTTTTATTATTACTTATTCATAACAACAAAATAAATGAGCCATTAATGTGAATTAACCTAACATGCAACTAAAATACAAATTATGTAGTTTAAATTAATATGACATGTACTGCTATTTATGAACCATATAATATGCAACGTGACATACTAATTATTTAACACCTAATTAATCATGTTTTATATAATTTACATTTAAATAATTTTATTAATTTTATTAAATAATTTTATATAATGTATGTAAACCATGTATAGTATATATAAACTATATATATAAACTATATAAAGTAAATTACTTATATAGTTTATAGAAACACTATGCATAAACTATATAAAGTAATAAAATATATAGTTTATAAAAACCCTAAATCCTAAATCATAAACCCTAATTCTAAACTTTAAACCATAAACACTAAATCATAAACCCTAATTTAAATAGACTAGCACTGATGCATATATATTTGTAATAAAAGAGTGAGCTTATGTATTGGCCTTTGTAAACTAATGTATTGCCAAAATTATTTATATTAATAATGTAAAACGTAAATTACATATAATTTATATAAATTAAACTATATTAATTTTCCTTTGCATTATTAATCATGTTTTATCTAATTTACTTTTAAATAATTTTTTAAATTTTTTAAATAATTTTATATAATAGGTCTATTTATTAATTTAATTATCAAAATAAATATTTTATTATAACATTTAAAAAGTAATCATATTAATTTTTTAATTATATCATAAACTAAAAAACTCATAATTTTATTAAAATCTTATAATTTCATCCATGGTAATATATAAGTCAAGTAAATATCAGATCAGGTCATTAACAAGTTGAATCATTTACAAGTTGAATCATTTACAGGTCAAGTTGAAAACATGTCAAGTTAAAAACAAGTCAGGTTGAAAACAAGTCGGGTAATACCAGTTATAATATAATTACAAGAAATTTAGGATAATTAATATAAGCTTTGAAGTTTTTAAAACTTCAAATGTATTGAAAGTTTACAAAATATGACAACACATCTAAATTTATAAAAAGATGACAAATATGACAACATATCCAAATTTATACGAGATGACACTATTTTCCTTACAAAAGATAACAATATCATGATAGTTGCATGTTTACTTAAAAAAATAATACAAAAAATGATATCAACCAGTTAAGCTTACTTACAAATGGCAGCAACATGTCAAGTTTACTTACAAAAGATTGCAACATGTCAAATTAAGTTCCCACTCACAGTAGTATGTACCTAGTGCTCTGATTATAGCTTTACTCACATATTTTCTTATTATCACAAATTGTTTAGACTTAAAAATCTCAAAAGGGAAAAACTGAAAACAATTATGTTTCTTACTTCAAAAGATACTTGAAATCCTGCTTTTGTAGAACACACAAATCATCACAAAGAGCTTTGACCTATCAAGACACTAGCAAAGTAAGTAACGACAAGTTTCAAGGCAGGTAAGACTAAAATATTGAAAAGATAATCACCTCTTCTGAGGTAGAACTGTGATCCTTAATAGGCAATGAAGCTGGATCCTCAAAGGTTATGGTAGCAACCGAACCAAGGATTTCAAGAGGAGAATCAGACCAAATGAAGTCAGCAGCAGTAGACACCTTCTTCGAGATTGTCTCCCCATTGATAGGCCACTCAACAGCTACAGCTTGTAAGTTGTAAGTCAACACTGGGATCCAAAGGAACCTTCCTCGTATAAAGCTGGAAAAAAATGACAACAAGGCTTTTAGACCTGAAGCACCCTAAAACGGGATGCCAATCAAGCAACTAGTACGGTTACAAGTGGTGCTTACAACTTTCCATACATTTAAAGCGTCTGATTGATTAAAGTAAGCAAAGCAACACATAAAAGGAACATAATAAATGCAAGGAAACCAGTCTTACCTTGAGAATTTGAAACCCTTCTTCTTCATTAGGTGTGGTCACTTCAACTTCATCATCAAAACGCCCTGACCTTCTTAGAGCTGGGTCGATTGCATCCACTCTTGATGGAGAAAATACCTATGACTTAACCGCCAGAACATCAGTTAAGGCATTATAGCCTGGTTCTTTTAGCAAAATCATGAATTAAAATAAGAAGATAACTGGATACAAAAATTTATAAAGCCCAATGCATTTAAATTTATAAATATAGCATCAAATCCCACAACAAATGAATGATGAAAATCCTTAATAAGCCACTCGGAGAAATGTTTATTTAAAGTAGTGGAAACTGGAGACTAGTAAGCATAATGCATTACTATAAGGCTCTAACATAAACATGGGAAGACAAGTAATGTGAATCGTTATATAAAAATCTCCCGAAGCTCAACACTAAGTTCCATATAAACAAGGCTGACCATAACAAATACACGTAGAACGGAGTCTTGTATCTTGAGTTTAGAGAAACCAACCTATTAATTGATGCAACCACAACAACTTGTGGTAAAGAACTTGTTGTTCAACCACATCCAAATACAATTACCAAAAGAAGGAAAAATCATTCATTCCAGCCTTGAACCACGACTAGGGCAGAGAGCATCTATTTCATCAATGAAAATAACTGATGGTTTGCCTGAACTAGCATGCAAAGATGCCTCTGAAAAAGCTTCCCGCAAAATTCTCACTTTCTCCAGCATTTGCTCTGTGAACAGAATGTGGACTGCAAGACAACCAAATATCATTAGAACAAACTGAAACTCGAAGTCAAAAATGACAAAACAATTATTCAAACACTTAACTTTTATAACAGACGTATGCAATTCTATATCATGGAAATATAAATGCAAATATTGCAGTAGAAATTATGTTTCTAGGTTGATCACCACAATCCTACTATAAAATTTACCTTCAACAACATAGACTGCAAATCCTTGACATATTCCCTAGAAAGTAGAAACTATGTAAACATGGGTTTCCTTTACCTTTGAAAATAGGCCTCCAAATTTAGACTGGCCAGATGCCTTCCCTCTCACAGCTGGATCCTGCTGGTAGAAATTATATAAAAGAAAGAAACATATGAAAACTGAATTTGGCTAGCATTTGTATTACCCTATACTAAGTTATACTTATGAATCAAGTCATAAAACCCAGAATACATCACAGTCTTCTTTTCAAGGAGTCATCAAAGTGCAAAAGAACGTATTACTTGTAGACATCCGGGCTTGAAAAATATTATAAATATTTATTATTATTTTTTGATGAATTCTCATGAAATATTGGTAAAGATAATAGAACTCGCAATCCTTCGATAACATAATACATGATACGGAAAAATAACATGAAACAGGACACAGACCAGTGTCATCGCTTGAGATCAGGGTCATTGCTTCTGCAATCAATATTCATATTCCATAACATAGACAAACGATCATGTTTTCACCGGATGAATGGGAGCTTGGATAAATTAAAAGGATTAATACAAGAAAAAAAGACGTAGCGACTGACTCAAGTCGACAGAACAGACTTCTAACTTGTAACCGAGAGATTATCGAACCCTAGAAGTGCCATTTCCCCTTCAAGGGGTATCAATAGAAAGCTATGGTGTGAGTTATTTTTGGAATTCTTGCACATCGATTTTTTGGTTTAGTCTTCATCCATCGAGATTTCAAGTATAAAAACATAAATAAATAGGGATTAGGAGCTTACCGATTTGAGCCACCAGGTTTGAGACCGAACCATTGAAGGTTGCTCGGGAAACCTTGCATAGGAGTTGGGGGTTAGTTCATCGGTTCAGATTCTAAAATAAAAACGAAATAGAAACGAGAGAGAGATCTATTTACCTTTGTTGTGTTTGGATCTTCACCGTAGTAGAGAGGAGAGAAACGGTGTAGAGGCCATTGGGGCGGTGGTCAAGCGTCGGTCATGGTGGCCGATGGTGCGAGTGGCGATGTGGTTAGCCTTTGAGGCTCTCGGTTGTGGGAAGAAGAAGAAAAGAATAGAGGGAAGAGAGCAAAACGGCTGAAGATGATAGTTTTAGTTCATAATTAGGTTTTTATATATTAAATGTAGGGTAAATAACTCTCATACCCCTAGACTTAGCCGATAATTTATACTTTAGTCACTGGTAAGGATGTTTTTATAATTTATCCATTTATATTTGTCCCGATTTTATTATTTTCTCAATTTTAGTTTTAGTTGTAATTTTTGGGTTATTTAAGTTTAAGTCCCTTATATTTATACGTGCTTTTTATTTTAAACCCTATTTTAATTCTTGATTTATGTGTTTAATTTTCACTTTATTTAAATTTAGTTCTTAGTAAAATTTGTTAAACTTAAACCCTAAATTTTAAATACTAAAACCTAAACCCTAAATCTTACATACTAAACCTTAAACTCTAAATTTTAAACCCTAAACTCTATCACATAATTAGAATGAATGAGATGATTTAGTGAAAGGAGAGAGAGTATACTTATTTTTCTTTTGCTTTCTTAATAACAAAAATCCAATAAGAAACTTCAGTCTTTTTTATTTATGCTCCTCTTCTCCTCAGTCTTCTCTTTATTTAATGTTTTGATTTTTCAACTATGCAATTATTACTTTTCTTTTTTCAGAGTAGAATCTAGTAATGCATATATATTTATCTTGTTTTACTTTATATGGTACATGTTAGTAGTAGGGATGATCATTTTCTCTCAAATATGATTTGATGCACTAATTTTGTTAATTAAGATATTAATGTAAGTCTAAATGAGTTTTTTCTTTCTTAATTCTTTATAAAATCGGTTACACTCTATTTTGATATTTTTTAAAATTATTAATATTTCTCTCAAATATGATTTGATGCCACTAATTTTGTTAATTAAGATATTAATGTAAGTCTAAATGAGTTTTTTCTTTCTTAATTCTTTATAAAATCGGTTACACTCTATTTTGATATATTTTTTAAAATTATTAATATTTAAATTGAATCATATTTTTATTATATTACATTTATTGTCAAATAAAAAAATAGTTATGAGGTAAGTACAATATAGTATTTTGATATTAAATGCTCAAACCCTTGACATTTATGATATTTTAACTCGAAACCTCAAAATATAACAACAATTTTAAAAATTAGTTATTAAAAATATTATAATTAGAAATATATTAAATATTTGTCATTAGATAAATAATTTTTTATTAATTTAAAATAAATATAAGAATATTTATTCAAAAATAATTTTTAACCATTTTCGGTTTTCTATTGTTTGGCTATTTTTTCTTATTTCTTATTTTATTTTTCTACGTTGTCAAGTACATGTGCAGTTAAAAGTTAAAAAAGAAAGAAAAAATCAACCAAACACATGTAATCTAACATGTGCTTAATTAAATGGACTTTTATTTTTCTTTTAGTAATATACAATGTAACAATTGGACTTGGGATGATTAATTAAAAAAAAATAAAAATTTGAGGGTAGTTGTATTATAGAATTTTCAATATATTTTTAAAATTTTATAATTATCAATAATGTATTTTTAATATTTTTAATAATATAATTTTAAAAAATCTAAAATTATAATATAACATTTTTTCGAGCTGCTCACGAGCTTTCGAGTCGAATATTGAGTAGTTCGTTTCGGCTCGTTAAGAACTTGAGTCGAGCTCGAGCTCGAGTTCGAGTCGAGTCCATTCGATCTGAGTATTTATCGAGCCTTGATCGAGTCGATCTCGAGTAGCTCACGATATGTCTCGTCTCATTTACGACCCTAGTTGGAGCCATTGAGAAACTGTCACTACAGAAAATTACATATAGGGTGTCCTATATAACTACATGGGCAGCCACATGCATGAATTGACACCCTAAATTATTTTGGAAAAAAATCATTTATAAATTATGTAATATATATATATATGATAATTTTAATACTGTTTTTTTTAAATTATAATATTACCTTTTAGATTGTAAAATTATAGTTTAACTTTTTTTTAATTCCATCCTCGTTTATATGATTTTAACTATACATTTCCATAAATTTAAGAGATATTATACAAAATTCATACTCTAATTTTTAGTATTAACTTATAAATTTAATTGTTTATTAAAATATAATTAATAATTTATTATATATCACTAGAAATAAAAGGGTATGATCACTTAAATATTATCCCTTTTTAGTATGATTATCGATTTTTTAATTTTGTCAATCATATCACTTAACTATTTAATTATTTAACGAAAGAAATGATGTGGTAATTAAAAAATTAATATAAATACATTTAGTCATCATTATTTACACATTATATAAATTTAATCATAATTTCAATTTAATTTTAAAAAATAATCTAATTATTTTAAATAATCTTCTCTTTAGTCAATTACGACACGTGTTATCATCTGATTTTGTGAAAAATATAAATGAATGAGTTTTGGATCTCATAAGGGCTCAAACAAAGGTCTACGAGGGAAAGGTTTAGTACGCTTACAATTGGGCTAAATGCGATTTTTGGTTATTGTTTATAATAAAAATTAGGGTAAATTATGTGTTTAGTATTTAAATTATCAGTTTTGATCCGTTGTAATACTTAAACTTTTAATTTTTTTCAAAAATCATACTTAAGTTTAATTTTTGTTTCATTTTAGTATATCCGTTTAAAATTTAACGTTAAATTTTAAAAAAATTGAAAGTTTAGGTACTAAAACATACAAAAATTGATAGTTTAGGTACTAAACACGTTAAGTTTTTAATGGTGGGGTGCTAAAGTGAAACAAAAACTAAATGCTAGTTATGATTTAAAAAAATGAAAGTTTAAGTACTAAAGCGAATCAAAATTAATAGTTTAGGTACTAAATGCATAATTTATCTTAAATTTTATATATCATGTAATATAATAAGTCTATAATGTTTCCTTCGACAAGTCATAGAATATTAAAATTGATTCTATCTGATTGAATAATTATTTTGGTTTTTTTATGAAAACTCTTAATTGATTAACAAAGGTTTAATATAAAAATAAGAAATTAAATTATACTCAAAATTAACTTTTGGTGTCTATTTTTTTTTTGTTAAAAATAGGTGTCTAAAGTTTTCTGCATTACACTTTTAGGTGTCTAATGTTAAAAAAAACTTGTTAAGTGACACGTGTCACGTCCATATTTTTTTAATATTTTTAAAAATATTTTATTTTAAAAAATATAAACGTGATACATTCCCCTTAATGACTTTTTTTAATGGTATATATCTAAAAGTGTAACGGAGAAAACTTAAGACACCTATTTTTAATGAAAAATTCGTTATACACCAAAGCGTTTTTCGAAGCATTCTTTAAACACTTATTTTTGTATTAACGTAAAGTAGTCAAAATCTATTTTTAAGTAATAAATAAATATTATTTTTCATATTTTAAGTAATAATTCATGAAATTATGACACATTTAAACTTTATAGATGTGGTATAATCTAATTACAATAAATCTCTTTTATTTTGAAGAATACATTTTCGAAAAGAAGATTTGAACTGAAATAAATCTATTCGTTAACGATGTTAACTGAAAAAATAGCGTTGTCCGAGTCAAATCGTAACAGACTTTCACCCCCAAAGACGGGAACAAAGCCAATCATCGTCAACCACGTAACAGCTTTACGCGCAGAAACCGAAATAACCGTTTCCATCCCATGCAAACCTTAAATCCTTTTCTTCACCAATTCAGTCTCATTTTCACCTTGGGCACCTAAACTTCCTTTTCTCCCCAATGGATGAGCGGGTTGCGTACACCGTGGAGGATCCTCAGTCGGATCACCCTGGCGTTTCACGGCAGCCACCTCTCCCTCTTCCTCCGGGCCACCCCATGTCCTCCTTAGTTGTTCAGGTCCCTAAAGATCAAGTGTATCGCTTCCCGGCCCAGGAGCACGCCCAGATCGCAGAGAATCACCGGAAGAAGGCGGCAGCGAAGAATCCAAAGAGAAAATTTCCGTGTTTAAAGTACATTTTCTTTTTGTTCGTCGTCTTGTTCGTGATTGCTTTATTAACCGGCGCCGCCATAGCGGTGGTTTTCAACAGTTTTAAGCCTAAAGATCCCGCTTTCTCCGTATCAAGTTTCGTGGTGAAGCAACACAAGGGCAGTCCCCCAACGTACGATGTTAAATTAAGAATCAAGAACCCTAATCCGAAGATGGGAGTCAAATACGCATCAGAGGAAGATGATTCGAGGCTATCTTTCGGGAAGAGAACACTCGGTTGGGGACGATTTCCGGAGTTTGGACATGAAAAAGGTAACACGACCGTCGAAGTAAATGTAAAATTTACCGGCGTTAGAGGTCAAACGTTGCCGGCGAGTGTTAAGAATAGTATGAACGACACGAAAACCAAGAACCCACTTTCATTAACGTTGGACGTCGAAGCTCCGTTGGTGTTCAACGTTTGGATATTGAGGTTGTGGAGGAAAGACATGGAAGTGAAGTGTGAGTTTAGGGTCGACACCATGGGCCATGGTACCAAAATTCTCAGCCAAGATTGTAATACCAAAATGTCCTAAACGTCAAGGTGATTTGATTTGTATGTGAAATTGTAAATGCATTTCCTGTTTTTTTTATGTAGTCGTCAGTACCCGATTTATTAATCTGGATCGAATACTCATCGATATTCAATCTTGTAATACAAATTTATTTCATTGATTTAATTTTTTATATGTGAGAAAAATAAAGAGAATTTAGATGGGTACTACTGAAAAAGAAGATAAGAAAAATGGACACATTAATCAAGTTGGAGTTAGGAAGGCCCCCCAATCGGCCACCCAAAAGTGGGTCTCGAAAAGTGAAGACGGTGAGATCAGTGTTGGGGGCTGCTGCCTGCAGCTAATATGGAGAAAAGGGCTGTAAAACCACTGGAGGCAAGACAGTGAAAAGGGGAATGTTGAGAAATTGGTGATGGGATACGGGTAAAGTGTTAGAAATTTGTTAAATCGAAAACAAATAAAACATCCACGTAAAAATAACACATGCGGAATAGATGAGATTTAATGTAATTCCGTCTTATC